GAAAAATAAAAATAAAGAAAAGAAAAGAAAAAAAAGAAAAAAAATCAAGAAAAGAAAAAAAGGAAAGAAGGAAAGGAAAAATAAAACTCAATTTTTCAATATTCTATTGACATGTGTCATATGTAATATTATTGTCAATGAACGAAGTAAATAAAAATGAACATGAAATTTAAGATTTAAGGTGTCAGTAGTGGAGGAGGGTAGAGGAAGGGGATGGGGTAAGCATGTTTCAATCAACTTTTTTTATTATTTTTATATTTTGATTATTTTTATGAAATTAGAAATTATATTGTAAATGAAATTTTTATGAAAATTTTTAATAAACTACTTATAAATAATAAAGAAAAGCAAGATTCTACACTACAACACAATAAGCATCAATTGAAGATTTGGAAAATGTAACAATCATTACATATCTAGGCTGCATCATTGATGAATACGGTGGATTTGATGCAAATATGAAGGTGTGGATTGGCAAAGCAAAAGTAGCATATCTACAACTGCATAACATCTAGAACTCAAAAGATCTGCCTTTTAACTAACACTAAAGTTAGAATTTCCAATATAAATGTGAAGACAGTTCTACTGTATTGGGCGGAGACTTGGAAAACTACGAAAGTCATTATCCAAAAGATACAAGTGTTTATTAACAGTTGTCTACGCAAAATACTTCGGATCCGTTGGTCAGACATAATCAGCAACAACTGAATGTGGGAGAAAATAAGCCAGATTGCAGCGAAGGAAGAAATCGGGAAGAAGAGTTGTCAGTGGATAGGATACACATTGAGGAGAGCACCCAACTGTGTCACAAGGCAAATCCTTACTTGGAATCGTCAAAGCTGAATAAAGGTGAAGTGGGAGATCAAAGAATACATTACGCTGAGAAATGGAGATAGACATAAGAAGAATGAACAAGAATTGGATAGAACTGTAAAGGGAGGCCCAGGACAGAATAGACTGGAGAATGCTGATGGGCAACAAGCGTAAGTAAGTAAGTAACTTATAAATAATATAATAAACTTAATGAGTAGTAAAACATTATAGGGATTATGTTCTTTTTTAGTTATTAGTAACTGAAATCTACCTCCATTCCATTATTATGAAACTTGAGAAAAAAGGCTTTGGACGGAGAGGGACGGCTTGTTTCAATGAATTCCTTCTTATCGTCTGACCATGTGCTCACTAGCGACTAGTTTCGTTAGGGAATTCTCGGAGGTCTAATGAGAAGCCGTGACCAGTGGAGTTAATCCGTGTCGGGTAGAGACAGGTATCTACCTCAGTACAATGGAATATGGTCGCGCAATTTCGTGGATTGATTGAGGTTAGACATCCTGTCCTGGGCAATCCTTTCCAGCTCTTTCCAGTTGTTATTCATCCTTTTCATACATGCTTCTATTTCTCGACGTAATGTGTTCTTTGGTCTTCCTCTTTCCTGTTTCCCCTCAAGATTTCAAGTTAGCACTTGTCTCGTGATGCAGTTTGGTGATTTCCGTAATGTCCTAGCCGTTTCCATCATCTTTTCCTAATTTCCTCTTCAGCTGGAAGTTGCTTTGCTCTCTCCCACAGTGGGCTGTTGCTGATGGTATCTGGCCACTGGGTGATGAGTGTCTTGCGTGGACAACTATTTATAAATAATTTTACCTTCATCTATAGCTCTTCTCGAGTTACTGCCGGTCCCAGGCCCGGGTAAAGGAGAAGGGTTTGGGATGGGGTCGGCAACCCTATCCCGTAGAAAAAAATCTTGCTAAAAGACGCCAACCAGATTAAACAAATTAATGGGAGAGAAGAAACCACATTTCAAATGAAGAAGAAATTCGGAAAAGATGATGGAGTTGGGTAGGATATATACTGAGGAAATCATAATACTACATCACGAAGCAAGCGCTATCTTGGAATCTTGAAGGGAAATGAAAAATAGAAAGATTAAAGGACATACAGGATCTGGATTTAAAAACAGACGTCAAAATAATGATTAGCTACTGGAAACAAGTGGAAAGGACTGTCGAGGACAGTGTTTCATGAAGAATACTGGTAGGTAGCCTGTGTTAATCCATCAGTGGCAACAGGCGAAAGTAAATATGATGATCAAACCATTTTATTTAATTTCTGTGTATTAGACATTAAAATAGTGATATTTTAATAATGTAACTTGGATACTACTTCCAAATGCTAATCACCTGGTAATATATCATCAATGAAAAGCTATATTACTTTGCGGATTCTTCCTAGACATAACAGAAGTTCAGTTTAATTTTGGTAACAATACAGTCTTCTTAGCCGTTTTTAAACTAATTAAGTTTTTTTTCACGACAGAAAAAATGATACTTCTATAGCTGATCAAGATCATGAACCGAATGACGTTAGACCACCACTGAAAACCTGGAAGTACTGGGTGTTCGTTTCGACCTATTGAGTGACTCATCAGAAGTGCGCACCCACGATTCAGCCCGAGTGTTTCGAGCCCAGGACCTTCGGTCTCGCACGTGATCGCCTAACCAACGTAGTAGACCTCATTGAAGACATCAAAACTTGCATTCGGTTAAAATAAAGAGTTTCGTATTGTGGTTTATTTGATTAAGAGGTTTATGAAGTAATCAAGTTAAACCAGTAAATCTGTCAACTACTCTGAAAAAAGCCTTAAGTGATAGATGTATATATAATGATTCAATTACACATTTGATATTTGGTCTAAGTCTGTTAGGATGATACGATAATGCCTACTAGTTAGTGATTGAATAGTACAAATCTCTATGCCCTTGACAAGACTGTTCACAGATTAAACAAGTGTCAATGAACTACTGGGTGCAAATATTTTTTACTGACAAAAATCAACTAGTACCAATTCTGCATTTCATGGCTTCTTATTGATCACCTTCTAACATTTAACGTGGAAATATTATACACTAAAATTATGCTTCGTTCAAAACAATGAACGATAGCCATTACAAATTTCCAGTATGGTGTTATGAAGATTGTTGAGTTTTTGATTGATATCGTGAATCGGTCGATGTTAGAACACCATTGAAAACCTGAAATCACTGAACGGCCGTTTCGTTCTAGTATGGAACACCTTAGTAGTGCGCATCCACGATTCCTCATTTGAGATTTGTCGATCCCAAGAACGTTCTGACACACGAACACTTAAGCTCTATACCAATAAATCAGTATCCAATAGTGTTAATGTCTAACTTCAACCAATCCATGAAATTGTGAGATCATCTACTAAGGTAGATATTTGTCTCTACCCGACATAGATTAACTCCACTAGTCACAGTTTCTCACTAGAATTCTAAGAATTCCCTTTCATAACTAATCACTAGTAAGCATATAGTATAAATCTGAACTACGAAACCAAGATATGTCAGTGTCTATCTTGTTTTAATTTGGTTTATTCTTCATTCATTTGTCGTCATCATTCATATGATGAACAAATATGAACTTGATATAAACCATAAGTCAGTCAGTCAGCTACAACGTAGGTCCAGGCACATATATGCATCGGTCCAAGTTGCCATACCTCATTAGCACAACAAGATGGATACCGGATTCATACAAGTAGCTAATGCAGAGGTGGTAATATATAAAAGAAAGATTTCAATAAGGATATAGTGCAGGAAGAGAGAAGCAACCGACCTATACTGGCTGGAACAACCGTTCCTCAAGGTCCTACCATGTCAGACAGGTCGGTTGATGAGCGGTAGGACCAAAAACAACAAACCTAAGGTCCGAAGGCGAAGTCGTACTGCTGACTGTACACAGGTGTGACAGCAGTAAGGTGTTTCCTTCAGACAACCAGAATAACAGCGATACTACCTTTCCACAAGGAGGGGTGGGGTTAGAAAAGGTCGACTCTAAAATGCACACCTCACCTTATCCCATAGATATCCGTCTCCGGCGGTAAGGTCTCAACAAGCACGGAGCTAACACGAAAATTACTCATAAAAAGGTCGTGTGTGACCGACCTCAGGCAGTTGTCTCTTGGGCACTGCGGTCACGCTCCCAGGTCACTAAGACCACCTCTAATCCAATTTCCTTTTCAGGCACCTCCATAAACCATAAGTAGTCGACATTGAATGGAAGAAATAGAAATTACATAACATAACATTCACTATATTATTGTCATAAAATGTCATATTACATCATCTTCAACGTTATTACTTCTTCTCCTTCTTCTTGTTCATTGAAGCACATGTGATGATTTAATTAAACAAATAGACAGTTCATATTCATAGATATAATAGCATTGAAAGCAAACTATAAATCAACTTGAATACGAAAAATTATATAATCAAATAGGTTTAATGAAATGAAAGCAAATAAGACACATAAAATGTGTGTGTGTGTATATGTGAATGTGTGAGGGGGTTGGGGTGGGCTGGAGTGGGTGGTAGAAATACAAAATGCTGATAATTACATTTGTCATTATTATCAAATTCAAGATAGAAACATTATGAAATAGTAAAAAAAAACAACGAGAAGAAAAAAAAGAAAAGAAAAGCACATGGTGCACTATTGAATGGAGGGGGGTTATGTTATTTTTTTATTAGAAGATATGGTCAGTGACCATATGAATGACTGATGAGAATGATAACCATGGTAGTGATGATGATGATGATGATGATGAGGATGAGGATGAAGCGGAAGGCAATAGTGATGACGTCATACAATTGATGAATATATTACTTAAAAGAAATATAATCAACTGATTAAATGTCTATAATTTGATAAGCACAAAAACTGTCTTAGCTAACTAAGCATTAAAGTATAGATTTAGTCATAAAATGCATTAGCATACATTGCTTAGTTTATTATGTAAGAGATAAACAAGCAAACTTGATTGTGTTGAATACTTTCTATTGTATACTTGTCTTATAATCAGCTGATCAGACATTTTATTGACATTCATAGAATATTCCATGCTGTTGTTGAAGTTTCTATTATTCGCTATTCTATTCCGTTTCTTTTTTGGCAGGGGCGTAGGATGGAGTGGGATGGGTTCTTCATTCATTTTCACTACCAGTTATAATATTGTAGGAAGCTATAAAGGAAAAGAAAAAAACAAAGCAAAAACATAAATAAAAACGAGTTAAGAGACCATTATGATCATTATGGATGCGCAATGCTGAGGAGTCTCACAATATGATAAAACGGCCGTCCAGTGCTTCCAGGTTTTCAGTGGTGGTCTGACATCAATCGGTTCATGATCTCAAAAAGTAATTTATTAATCTCCACAACGCTACACTGACATTATGAAAATGTTTATTGTTCAAATAAGATATGAAGAATGTCAGTATAGGATCGTAGAGTTCAATACTAAGATGAAATAGTCATCCAGTGTGTTATCTCCAGACGAAGAATCAATGAATAGTAACTACAAGGATCTATTTATGGACCAATATGATATGAATATTCTTATTGTATGACCATTAAGTAACTAGTTTACATGTATATTTATATTCCTTTTATTATAAGCTCCCAATTGACCTAATAGCTACTGTTATTTGACTTACTATTCATAAGTTACTCCCAATTTATTAGTTAAAGTTCCTCACATTCACAGACACTTTTGACCTGGTCATGCATAATATTTGGTTTCAATTTGTGGTATGATGCAGTCTGGTTTGTTTGTATATAAACCAGTTATGCCTGGAATACAGGATTCATATAACGGAGGTTAATATTGGTGTTCTTGACTAATCTGGATGGGTTAGACGAGAATCTACTATCTCACAGGACCAATATGAACACAGAGTTGACTGTAGGTTGCTCGTACTAGATGACTCATCGTTAGTTTAACACAGGGATATGGTCATCTAAGTCAATGTTCTGATTGGCGTGATACTTGACAGGGCTTCGGATGTAACATATAGACTTTTTTAAAATAAAATAAAGACAATATCACGTATATTAACAGAGAAAGCTTCATTTAAAGTAACTATACTTTGATAAATTATTATGTGACACCATTAGGTACAATTCAAGATGTTTGATTGCTTTCACCCGGTTACAGTAGATATATCGAATGAGCGATATAAATATATTATGTGTAATGTATTTTCAGTTTATTATTCATCAAAGTTTCAGAGTATATTGGTAAAAGAAAAAAAACTTAGTATTATTTGCTTGTATTTTACCATTGTTGTTCAGGACTGCGATTGATCAGTCTCTTGTTGGCAAATGTAGATCCTGTGTAGATTGCCTCGATATTACCTTACGTAAATTTAAACTTCACCACATTACACAAGCAGGTGGCTACCAGAACTCAGTAGCTTAGTGGATGATGCGATGGCGTTTGAAGCGAACGGTATTGGGTTCGAGTCCTGGGTTGAACATCAACTACAGGTATGAGGGTATATACAGTTGACGAGTCCCATATAGGACGGAACGTGCATCCTGAATTCCATTACTAGCTACTATACATCTTTGCTTATAAAACTTAGTGGTTTGTTATAATGAAGTGAATCTTAGCGTATATTCATTAGCCTATACAGAATATAATATCGAATTTTCCATTATCTCAATGAGATTTATTTAAACGAAGGCGATATTCTTGAATATTTGAGTTACCTGTTCTTGTCATCTATATAGCTCAACAAGTTCTCTACTTCCTTACTTGTTTTAACACATCATTATATCAATGAATTACGTAATCTATTCAGGTACATTTGTCAAAAATGTAGAACCTTTCGTTGTACAAGTTACAAAAGGCCCAACTATAGATATCGTGGTTGCTGGCAATATACATCGAAAAGAATGAAGATTATACAGACATCGATTCTTGAACAGTTAACATCTAACTGCTGATTATTCAATATGTTATCGTTGGGATTGACCAAGAAGTAACAAACGGGAACTCTATGAAATTCTTTATGCTGAGTATTTTATATTGTACCAAAAGAAATAATATTGAATGAAGCCACTAATAATAATGTTGTGATCTCCAAGGTTTGCAATTCTGGTCCTACATTTGACTCTAAGTTATGTTGGATATCTAATCTACGAAGGAGTTTTCAAATAGGTTAAATTAATCATCTTAATGCTTCCTTACTTTGTAAATAAGAATATCTCATTGAAGTTATTAATAAGACAAACTAAAAAATAAATTAATATCATGAATGGATCGATGTTAGACTACTATTGAAAACCTGGAGTGTTAGTGAAAAACCATGATCAGTAGAGTTGAACTTTGTCTGGCTTAAGACAATTACTCACTGAAGATAATGGTGTACGGTCGGCGCAATATCGTGGATTGGTGGATATTAGACATTAACAACATTGGATATCGGCTCATTTGTCTGAAGGTTAAGCGTTCGTGTGTGAGACCGAAAGTTCTGTGTTCGAATCCCACATGAAGAATCGTGGATACTTCCTGCTGAAGAGTTTCATACTATGATATTATAGACATCCCATGCTTCCAGATTTTTAATAGTAGTCTCTCATCTATCCATTCATGATATCAATCTAATCTCAAGAAACTCCACATAATGATCCTTTTCAAAGTCTTATTCTAATTCCATAAAGAACATAAAGACTATGATTCTTCTTTAAAAAAACACAGAACATATTACGTAATGATTCTATGAAATAATAATTTATTAGCCAAGTTTCTTTTTTGTTCTAACGTGATATAATGGAAAGATGAAAATTACCAGAGTACACGATAGTTTAACTCATTTGTTTCCATGTTGAATCAAATTAGCCATGATTAAATTTGTAAAAACAAAAATAAGAAGGGAATATTAGATATTTGAATCAGGAGCAGAAAAGATTATGTCGTCAGATATAAATTTATTAGGCTATTTCACTTACATACTTGCTTAGTTACTTACGTCTGTTACTCTCAATCAGGCATAGGCTGATGAATAGAATTCGATTAATCACTCTGTTCTGAGCATTCCTTTTCAGTTCTATCCAATTGTTCTTCATTCTTCTAATGTTTGTCTCCATCTCTCGGCGTAATGTGTTCTTTGATCTCCCACTTCACCTTTATTCAACCTTGACGATTCCAAGTGAGGGATTGCCTTGTGACTCAATTGGGTACTTTTCTCAATGTGTATCCTATCCACTAACAACTCTTCTTCACGACTTCTTCCTCCTCTGAAATCTGGCTAGTTCTCTCCCAAAGTAGATTGTTACTGATAGTGTCTGACCAACGGATCCCAAGTATTTTGCGTGGACAAGTGTTAGTAAACACTTGTATCTTCTGAATGATGGCTTTCGTATTCCTGCGAGTTTCTGCCCAATACAGTAGAACTGTCTTCACATTTATATTGAAAATTCTGACCTTGGTGTTGGTTGACAGACAGATATTTTGAGTTTCAGATATTCTTCAATTGTAGATATGCTGCTCTTGCTTTTCCAATCCACACCTTCATATCTTTATCCAATCCACCGTGTTCATTAACGATGCTGCTCAGATATGTGATGATTGTTACATTTTCCAAATCTTCTCCATCAAGTGTTTATTCTATTATAGGAATTCGGTATGATGTTGACTATATTCTCAAGCCGTTTTAGTGACCTATTATTTTGACGGCAATTAGATCAGATGATGTTATCGATGGGCTTACTATTTTTGTAGCCCTGTATTTGACTGTGATTAGATTGTAGGAATGATTGTTATCGAAATAATTGCTGTCGAAATATACATCATGACTATGCTCAATTATATGATCATCGACTTAAATCACGTTCGTGAATAACGTAATTAAATAAATCAAAAATTTCCTGGACCTGACGATTTACCTCAGCCTCTAAATGCACCGGGACACGACGTGTTGCAAATATATTTACTCGACTGTTCTTTATCGGTATTTCGTGCTTTACTCTGTCACAAAATCCATACGGCTCCCCATCTCCAGTGAATAGTTTCGCATACTTTTTGCATAACTCGTGAATGTTTGGTTTCTTTGACGAGACATCCGCTGCAACTCTTATTTCAGCCACTTCGCTACTTTCGTGTATTGTCAATGAACCATATTTCGTGACCACCTTACCGCTTCTTAAGTCAACTATCGCTTTTACTTCTCTTAGGAAATCTGCTCCTAATATCGGTCTCGATAAGCTTGTGGTTACGACGAACGGAAAATTTATCTCAGCATCCCCCACTTTTACGATACTGTTAGATACGCCAAACACCTCTAACATATGGCCCCCTATCGTGTGGACAGCTAATGTACACGGCTTGATTCTCTTACATTGCTCTTTGCCTATTAACGATACTGCTGCACCTGTATCGATCAGACAAACTAAATCTCGCTCATTTATGTTCACTCTCGTATATACTGACCCTCTGTCTACTAACGCAACAATCCCCAGATTCATAGGATAGAAAGAACACTCGTTGTAACGTCTAACATATCTGCGTCTTCGTCTTGTTGGACAGTTTATCTTCCAATGTCCTGTCCCTCCACAAGCGTAACATTTATCGTTCCTTTTATTGTTCACTCGTATTGCTGCAATCTCACGCTCCAGCTCCTCAATCTTCTTCTCGACATTACTATTCTCCTGCTTTTCGCACCCGACCGGAGCTACTATTCGCGTCATCAGTTGTCGAGTCACCTTCGCCAGTTCACTGATATCCATCGGTTGCGCTGCGTTCACCAGTTTCAGTTGTTGGGAGACGGTGGCAGGCACACTCTCGATAAACTGTGACGCCAACAACTGTGCCTCCGACTCCTCAGCGCACGGCGTAACAATCTGGTAAGCCCCACAGCCAGCACCAGTGGGTCACCATCGACCGGCAACCTCGCCAACCGGAACTTCTGCAGCGCGTCCTCTCTGTCCACTGGGCTGTCAAACTCCGCCGCCAACCGTTGCGTGACTGCCTCCCACGTCGTCTCCCCGCCAGCACCGTCCAAGCTGTCATACACAGCCTTCGCTCTGCCTCTCAGCAGCGTCCCCAGCACCACCAACTTCATCTTCGGCTCTTTCACTCCCGCCAGCTCCGCCACGGCCTCAAACCCCTTCAGGAAGCTCAGCACATCCCGTCCTCAAACTCCTTCGGCCATGGAATCTTTATCCTTAGTGGAGGCAGCG